TACCAGAAATCCTTTTATAATTACCAGCAATAAATTTTTGAAGGAAAAATTATTACCAACAATACATTTTTTAAGAAAAAAAATATTACCAAAAACAGATTTTTGAAGGAAAAAAATATTACCAGCAACAAAAATTTTGTCAGCATTAAATAACCCATTGAGGTTGATATTCCCCATAAGACAAAACAAACCAAAGCAAACCTTAATCAATATATTTAAAGAAACAAATTTCTATGTTTGATTTGATTAGCTAACTGCTCCATTTCTTGTCACAATAAATGACTAAGTGAATATTTATTTGACGAAAGAGAACTGATAATATATTGAATTTTTTTGTCTAGCAAACACAGGTCAATGAAGGTATTTCACTTCCTGTACAAGGTTGATAAGAACAATACAGTACAAGCATGATGATTCCTCAAGATGTGGAACTGACAGTCATCTTGCAATGTTGACTTCTATGTCAACATTGTTTGTGTATGTGTGTTGGTTTTGTGATGGCAAACCAAGACACAGCAGTTCTGTCTGAGTTCTGATTAATAAAAATGGAGTGTGCATAATACTCCTGTTGAGATACTGGAGTATGGAAGATTACAAACTTCTTTAGGGAGACTACATTACTAAAAATATATTGTGGTCTTTGTAAAAGTGGATTTTAACTCTGCAAACCTGGCTTAATGTAAATGAATAGAGCTGTGTCATCAGCAAATAAGAACTCTTTGATTAACTACTCTATAGCCTTTGTATATAAATGCTCCAAAATGAGCAGAGTGCCATTTGTACAAAATAGGTGAACATGCAGTCTTCCTCTGCAAACACTTCAGTAATCAGTTTTAGTGACGTCCTGAAGAAAACTGGAATTCAGGTTGAAACAAAGATGTAGTCCGGCTTTACAGCATTCAGATATTTCATAAAGAAAAACCTTTTTCTATATATTATTTCACTTAGTTGCAAAATAATATATTTACTGCTATTATTAAGTGGGTATTTTTAAAATTGTTATAGATTTACATCAGGTAGGTCATTTATGTAGACAAGGAATAGAGTGGGGCCTAGGATGGAGCCTTGAGGAACACCTGCATTTGTGGGATAGGAACTGGAGGAGAATCCATTGAGAATGACCTTCAATTCACAGTTTGACAGGAATGATTGTATTAGGTTACTTGCGAAGAAGGCCGGCATGCCAAATCCTATCAAATGCTTTGGAGATATCTAGTGCCACGGCTCGGGCTTCCCCGTTATTTTGGAGAGCTCGGTAGACTGTTTCAGTGATGTCCATAAGCACATCGGCTGCAGATCGGGCAAAGCGGAAACCATATTGCTTGTCTGAGAGCAGATTATGGGATGTGAGGTGGCTAACCACCCCGGTATTGATTAGAGCTTCAAAGACTTTGCTGAAGAGGGGAAGAAGACTGATAGGATGATAGTTGGAAGGGTCAGAGGGGTTGCCGGAGTTCTTGAAGACAGGAACGATCAAAGAGGACTTCCAGCAGTCAGGAAAACAAGATTCCTTGAGGCAGTAGTTGTATAGTTTCGAAAGGGCGAGTGCATTTCTTCAAGACAATGGCTGGTATCCCGTCTCCACCACTAGCTTTGTTGGGATCTAAATTAGAGATAATGCCCAGTACCAAGTGTGACGCGTTTTGTCATAAAAAAATAAATTTAAAATTGCCAGTTTCCCTCATTCATGTGCATATGCAGTTGCACCAACGTTTCATATGAAATGCATAAAGAAAAATTGAGACATATAAGCAGTCAATTGCTGATAACCCATGAAGATATTTCATAACGAAAAACCCGTTTTTATATACTATTTCACTCTGTTGCAAAATAATATATTTACTGCTATTATTAAGTGGATATTTTTAAAAAATTGTTATAGATTTAAAATGAGACACATTAGTTTTAACAAACAAAAATATTTGCTCATTCACACAAGATGTCTAGTGTTTATGCCTTTCAGTATTTGAGACGCAAGAAAATTTTGAACCTACATTGACTACAAAGATTTCTACCAGATATGATACACACCAGATAAGCCATCTTCTGGATTGTTCCATTCAGTCCATCTAAGGGAGATAATGGGTGAGTTGTACTCCTGTCAAAGTGGAGCCAGATATCAAGTCTTTCTTAAACGAGGTGCTATATCATGCAGAGCTAATCTGGTGTTAATGATTCAGTCATCAGCAAAGAGAAACTATCTAGGAAGTTTCTCCATCAGCTTTGTGTAAGCCTGGAGCCATCTAAGACTAAACAAACTGCCTTTTGTACAAATATTAACAATATTTCAATGAAAACAATATCATTGCTCACTGATATAAGATGTCTAGCATTTATACCCTTTAGTGCATAAAACAAAATAATTTTGAACCCATGTTGACAACAAAGGCTTCTAGAAGATATGATAAAGTCTAGGTTGCTAAACTATTGGACTGTTCAATTCTGTCCAGCCCCTAGAGATAAGAGTGTGTGGTACTTCTGTCAAGGTGGAACCAAAGGATTAAGTCTTTTTAAACTTAGATGTTATATCTTGCAAAGTTGATTCAATGTTAGTGACTAAAAGTGAATCATCAACAAAAAGACATTCTCTGAACAGCTGTCCCTTCATCTTTGTACAGGCCTGGAGCACCTCAGGCTGAACAAACTGCTTTTTGTAAAAATATTGACAATATTATTCCTCGATCAGCCATTAGGATTGAACATCAGATGGACCATCTAAGAAGAAGGCTACATATATATATATATATATATATATATATATATATATATATATATATATAGTTTCACCTATTTTTTTTTAACTTTTTCTAGTTTTCTTACTTGTTACCTCTTTTCCTTCACACTTGCTTTCCCTACCTCTTCTTTCATTTTCTAAATCCCTTACCTCTTAATATTATTATGATGTTATGGAGACCCATGAAGAAAAAAAATGTGTTTTTATCACTGTCTCAAATGTTTCTGTTTGATGCCAAGTGGATGTTTTCTTTTAAATCTGGTCTTATAAGCAACATCTCCTTTGACCAAAGGAAAACCAGAGAGTGAATGGTTGGATGAAGGCTTTTGGACAATAAAACCAAGCATTTATTATTTCCATGTGCTGATCTTTATTAATAGGCATGCTTGGGATCAAGAGTGAGTTCTGGCCCTGACCTTTCCTTAGGGAAACAGGCTTGTAGATTGCAGGGTTCCAATGCTACCTGTCTGTACAGCCAGCCACAGGTCAAGTAGATAGACAAGGATTTGATAGAGGAACAAGAATTTGATAGAGGGTAGAGCTGATCTCTGAGATCAATACAGAAAATTGTCCAAAGTGTCACCTACCTACCTTCTCACTCAGATGAGCAAGCAAAGTTATGAATAAAAAAACTACATATAATGGTTCTTATTTCTTGATGTGGCATTTGTCTTTCATTTTGTTACCTTGTGAGCATGCAGTGGGCCTTTTCCCAGCTTTTAGTGCACATTGATGAGATTGAGAATCAAAATGTAACATGAGATAGATATTGGCCAGTTGGGAGAAACCTTGGGCAAGGGTTGTGGTGCATGTTTACATTACTCAGCCAGAAAATGGAACTTGATTCAAAGCTAGAGTTTAGGCAGGTACTACACTGTTATGGAGTGATTTCACAGTGGAGGCTTGTATTTGTACTAAGTCAGTCCTAAAATAGGTTCGACGTACAAAACGTTAGGAACTTCATATAATAGGTATGATGCAGAGTAATCTAGTTGTGGTCGCTGATAGTTTAGTATTCGACTGTCGTCCGACATCGACTGACTGACCATCTCCTCTCAGCGACCCCCACGTTACTCTTACTACTCCTACTTATTATAGGTGAGAGAGTCTATTAACTATAGAATAGGTGTGTTCTACTATAACATACACTCTGATTCTCGGGAGAAAAGTTTAATGTTTACACAAACAAACAAGCAGAATGATAGTAAAAAGTAATTTGCCTTAAATTGCTGCTAGTTGTCAGAAAAAAATTTATATATCATACATTCTTTTTACCTTGTACTGTAAATATTAAAAGTATTTCATAAGAAATTTAACAGCACTTTACCAGCAATGGTCGATTGTCAATAAACTGAATTTCCTTCCAATCAATGCCTTCTTTCTTGTATTCTTCTTGTTCTAATTTAAAAACATACTGAAAAAAGAAAGGAAAAACATAATAATAATGTTATGGTCCGGTTCCTTGTACTACGGTGATAGTCCAAGGTAGAACCAATAAAGATGAACTCGAACACAGGTATGGAATAACACAGATATATTACAAACAGGAATATATACAGAGAAGTGGAAGTGTTAGTATGAACAATCAGGTTTAGTAGAGAGAACAATGTAGTCTCGACCATTATCACTATTCCAATGTCTTGCAGTAATTGTCTGAACGCGACTCTGTTTCGAACTGCCTCTGACTCGATTCTTGACTCGACTTGAACTACTGACTCAACTCTTGACTCGACTTGAACTACTGACTCAACTGACTCTGCTTGAACTATTCCTGAGGTGTAGTATTTATTAAGTATGGAATAGTCCATTATTATTATTATGGGTAAGATCCCATAACAAATAATAACAGTCATACAATGAAATCTCTTTTAATATGTTCATTTTGACACTTCTTTTATATACCATGTTCCTTCAGGACGTAGGCAATCATTGCTCTCCACAATTTCCTTCCTCTGTAGCTCTGAATAAGTTTTATCTTTTTGTTATTTCTCCCAGACCCTGTTCCACCATCCACTTGCTCAAGCCCATTAAGTATGTCATGCATTGCTTTTTCCCTGTCCCTTTTTGTCCTGTGAGTATCATATTTTCCAAGCCATCCTTTCTAACTATGTGCCCCAGACATTTCAGCAGCCTCTTCCTGATATTAAATATAAGTTTCCTCTTTGTTTCCATTCTCTTCAAAACCTCATCGATGTTCACACATTCGGTCCATAGTATCCTCAGCATCCTTCTGTAGAACCACTCTTCTGTTGCTTCAAGTCTCTTCTTCATTTTTGAGGAGATTTTTCAGCATTCACTGCCATACAGGAAGACAGATATATATCACATAGCAATTCAGTACTCTTTTCTTTACTACTGAGCTTAATGAAGATGACTTAATCCTGTCAAGGTTGACAATATGAAAAACAGCTTTACTGCCACTGCCCACACGGGTAAGATTGTTATGTGAAAGTGTTTTTTCCAAGTGCTCATTCATCCATTCACTTTTCTCTGTCAACTTTTATGACATACTAGAGATGAAACAGACATGTATATCTACAGACACGCATACACACAAACACACATTTTTGGGCTATGCCAAGATTGACTATAGAGATAATAATTTTTGCTCTTTCTGCCTGGTCAGCGAGCCAGTTATTAGAGAGTGGTTCCTACACACTCTCTCCTACATTAACCATCATGACATATCAGTGACAAGACATGTTTTTTCATCAAGATCTCTGGTAACTGGACAAAGCACAGGGAGACATCAACTGATGCCTTTCCTAAATGGATTAGTGGACATATAACAACCTTAGTTGAAATATGATCTTGACTTCCTCGTCCCTTCTTTTTTTGTTGTACTGTTATATCACCCTATCCTTCCATTAAGCCCAATAAGTGACATTTTGAAATTTCTAGTGCACGTAATGAGGAAAGAGGCATTGGAGTGGAAAGAGCACTGGAATAAATGTGTAAAGGCCCATAGTGGAGTTATTTGAAAGAGACTAATGCACTATTTTCCTAGGTTTGATCTAACATGGCTTCCTACTGTCATTTCTACAAAAATTTTCTTGATGAGCTTTTTACCCTGGTGCCCTGACTACATGAATTTAAGCATGCTACTAGATTGGCATCTAGGTCCTACCCATTTACTGTTGAAAAAGCTAAATGCAACCACTACTTCTACTCCAACATTTTCTTTTCTCGCACTTCCCAACTGTGGAACTTCTTTCCATTTACTTTCTTCTCTGATAACAAAAATCTTCAAAAATTTAGATGCAACATCAATTACCATCTTTTTGAGTCCTGTTCATCTTTTGTCCTTTCCTCAATTCTATACTCAGTCTTTTCTTTCACTTTCACTCCCTGTAACCACACTCCCCAAGTATTAGTGACATTTCCACCTTGGTTGCGATGATATGATTAAAAAAAAATAAGGTAAGCTATCTTTTTTTAAATATTAAATGAATGGATCATTTTCATACAGAACTCCAACTGGACATTAATGTAAGATTTTATAAACACATAAATTATAATTTAAAAATCACTTAATATATTTGTTAACATGCTATGTCCCTTCATGATGTATACAATCATAGATTCCTTTTCTTTATTATCTGCAAATTTTCATGACTTCTTAAGAAATACCATGAAGTGGCTTCCTTGTTTTGAATTCAGAGTAGTTTTTTTTTCTAGACTGGCTGACACTCAAGACAAAAGAGAGATGCTTAACATATACAAATTTTAAAAAACAGCACAGCTTCAAGCTATTCTTATTTATGACAAAATAGATGGTATGAGAATAACATTAAAATTTATTTAATGCCATATACATCTAGGATGTAGGGGATCATGGCTCACCACATATTCCTTTATTATATGTGAATTGTAATGTATTCTTAGGGAAGACAGTGGAGTACTTTCTCCACAATTTGAAATTCAGAGTTTTCCTTCTCTTAGACTGGTTACTACTCAAGTCTAGACAGCCCAATCTACCCTGCTATTTAACCCTGGATTGGATAGTGTTGTGGAGTAGTTTTCACAGTGGAGGCTTGTATTTCTATAAATCGTCCTAAATTAGGTTCGACATACAAAACATTAGGAACTTGGAAAATAAGAGTTAATGACGCAGCAATCTAGTTGTGATGGTTGGTACTTCAATGTCCGATATCGTCTGACTTGCTCAACATCACTGACCCGAACTGGCGACTGCTACTACTACTTATTACTTATCTGTGGGAGAGTCCATTACAATAAAATAGGTAATATGGCATGACAGTTTGGGAAGAAGATCTGTGCTATATCTGGAGAAAAAAGTGAACACAAAAGACTGGCCTGCAATTTGAACTCAGTTCTCTCATTCCACTTTCAGCACTGATATTCATTACACTACCCACACACCCTTAAAGCTAAATTGGTGGTTGTAATAATAAAGACAGAACTGACCTGATTAAAAAAGAAATGCAGTTGTTCATTTGCCAGATTAATGCAGGCTTGTTCAAAGCTGTTGTCATCAAAATGTTCAAATCCAAAAATGTCCAAAATTCCTAAAAAAGAAAGTTAACATAAATTGCTTCAATGAAGCTGAGAAATATGTATTTTGTTTTAAAGAAGAAAAATACATTATAAATTTCTGTTTAACCATTTTCAACAATGAAATCAGACAAGATCTACTGTGATTCTATAACAGAGATCAGCAACATTTTGGAGTGAGCAGGCCAGAAAGCTATGCAGTATCTTGAAGGAAGGCCATGATATCATATGTATTATAATAAATTGTCTTGACCTCAGACTGCTCTGTTCAGAAGGCTGCCTTGGTCTGAAGGTTTAAAGAAGAAACAAAGAAGTTAATGTTATATTATTTAAAGAAAGTTCCTTATTTTATTTCAGGAATAACAGGATAACAACTAACACAATCAACATAAATGAAAATTCCTTACTACAAAAAAAATAATGCAAATTCCTTACTACAAACATAAATGAAAATTCCTTACTACAAAAAATATAATGCAAATTCCTTACTACAAACATAAATGAAAATTCCTTACTACAAAAAAAATAATGCAAATTCCTTACTACAAACATAAATGAAAATTCCTTACTACAAAAAAAATAATGCAAATTCCTTACTACAAACATAAATGAAAATTCCTTACTAAAAAAATAATGCAAATTCCTTACTACAAACATAAATGAAAATTCCTTACTACAAAAAAAAAATAATGCAAATTCCTTACTACAAACATAAATGAAAAAAATTCCTTACTACAAAAAAATAATGCAAATTCCTTACTACAAACATAAATGAAAATTCCTTACTACAAAAAAAATAATGCAAATTCCTTACTACAAACATAAATGAAAATTCCTTACTACAAAAAAATAATGCAAATTCCTTACTACAAACATAAATGAAAATTCCTTACTACAAAAAAAATAATGCAAATTCCTTACTACAAACATAAATGCAAATTCCTTACTACAAACAAAATGCAATTAGAAATGGCAAATTATTTAACGAGACACTCGTTTCTGCTTATCATTCATTAACTTCTCCACATCAGGTAAAATATCTGCCAAAGATAGGAACAAAACATCATCCAGGTGGTCTTCATCCAAATTTGTTCTTAACCGATTTTTAGCATATTTAATTTTCAAAAAAGTTGTTCACAAACATATGAACTTCCAAATAATGTGACCATCATTTCTGCATTATTCAATGAACTTTTATTTTCTGCTTGACAAAACATATTTCTTGTAGAAGTCAGCAGTTGATTCAGAATTAAATTTTGATTTCAAAAATTTGTCGCATTGTAAGTCAGTTAACTCCAACTGATATTATTTTTCTGCCACCTGTTCCACAAATTAATTAGATTATTAGTGTCTAGATTTCAAGTTGGTGGGCTGGGCAAAAAATCCTTCACAGGCCAGATATGGCCTGGAGACCAGAGGTTGCTGACCCCTGTTCTATAATGTAGAATTCTTTCATTGTCCAATATTTCAGTATTCCAATGAATTATTTTGGTTAAAGTTTATAAAATTATATCTTATAAGATGGTTATGTAACCTGTGATATCATGGTAGAATTTATTAAAAAAATACATCAAATCTTAAATTTACTTAATGATTACATGAATAGTGACACAGTAAATTCTAAAAGCATATGCAGAAATTCAATGCAAATTATTTTACTAGATAAATTACTGCAAATTATTATTTACATTATCCTAGATTAAAGATATCCTTATCCTAGGAAGGCTATGTTTCATAAATATTGAAAGGCTAGATCATTTCTGGACAGACTATATATATATATATATATATATATATATATATATATATATATCAATTTCAATGTCAATCACTATCTTCTGTTCTTTTATTGTAATCCTTAATAATGTTTTTCTTATATACTTTCACACTAAGTAACCCACTGCATGTTAGTGGCTTTGTTGCATTGCTTGGGCTGAAATGATTAATATATATATAATTTAATGTAGATCTCTGATGAAGCTTTAATAAAGTGAAACATGTTAGATTGAGATCTGCTTCCTACTTGTTCTTTATCCTATTATTTTGTCAGATTTCTATCCATACTTGATCTATATTTGATCTTCTACTTATCTTTCTTTCTCCATCTCTTTCTCTCTCTCTCTCTCTCTCTCTCTCTCTCTCTTTATATATATTTATATATATATATATATATATATATATATATATATATATATTAACCCTTACAACAAAAACATGTTATAAACTGCTACATAAATGCAATCATGTTTCAGCACAGGCAGTAGTGCTTAATTGGAGAATAAACGATCATTTTTTGAACACTTTTATACATATATATATATATATATATATATATATATATATATATATATATATATATGATAAGCAAATATAAATGGATATAAATCCGACAGAATGAAGAAAATATCTGGAAAAACAAAACAAAAATCCTTAAAATGCGATCATTCATATTAAAACAACATAATCGCATTTTAAGGATTTTTGTTTTTCCAGATATTTTCTATATATATATATATATATATATATATATAAATTAAGACATGTGTTGTTAAATACTATGAAACATTTCCATTTAATTATCTTTTTTTCCTGCATTCTCGCAAGTTTTTTTATATTATTTGGGTCTAAGTTGTTGAAAAAAGACCATAGTCCATGGTGTTTTGCTGAGCACCTTTGGTTGTTGTCAACCGTCATAATGGCTGTATGTTTTGGTTTGAAGTAGGTTGCTTATTATTTTATTTTATAGATAATATTTTGTGTATTTAGATAGTGTTGTTGGATTAGTTCATTAGTAATTAGAAGGGGGTTGGTATTTATTATTTGAAACAATAGTTATTAAATATATTTAAGATGTTTTTGCCATTATTAAATGCTATTATATTTATGAAGGGTTTTTGTTTTTTTATTATGATGCCTTCAAGAATTTGTAAGTTTTTTTGCATTTGTTTTTATAAAAGATTTTTGTATTGTTAATTAATACTTTTCTTATTTGAGTTGATTTGTATGTGTTACTAGTGGTGCAGTGTATTGCTATGACTGATGATTTTATATATATATATATATATATATATATGAAGAAATATAGTTTTAAGATGTGCTATATTTATGGGATACAGTGTCAATATCAGAGATAGAGCGTATGTAAATATAAATATAAAAGTGAACATTGAAGTCAACACTCAGAGGCAACAGGTTGTTTCATGCTGGATGCAATGAAACAACCTGTCACCTCTGAGAGTCTTGACTTCAGTGTTATATATATATATATATATATATATATATATATATATATATATATATATATAAGCATTATATAATTTTTTATGTATCAAGAACAATTTTAGAAAAAACTATGACAAAGTGGGAAAATTTTTTGCATGACATGTTTTGTCCTTTAGAACTTCATCAGGCTAAAGTGATCTTTATGTTGATGCAAATGTACATGCACACAAAAGAGAGAATTTAAAATTAAAAAAAAAAAATTAAATATATGTTTTGGGTATATTTCATTTTTTTTCTTTTTATTCATGCCTCCATCATCACTTTTTTATCCCACATTGTGATAATAGAAGATCTGCCAAGAAAGGTGAAATGTTATAAGAAAAGTACATAAATTTACTGTGGATGATCTAATGATTAAAGTACTTTCCATACATTTTCATCTTAGTAAATTGCTTTCGCTTTCAACTAAATAATCATTTTTTAAATGTTGAAACATTCAGAAGAATCTGGCATGCCCAGGAAATTTTTTTTCAGAAAAAATATTTCAACTAAAATCAAAAAGTAAACCAGAAAAATTAATCTATTTATATGTAGATCCTTCTGATATGCCTCATGTTATGAACACCAAGTTTTTCACTTCTGTAATGGTTTTAGAGATGGTGTATAGTGATGGACTTGTAATGCCACCCCACTTCTTTCAACAGGGTCTTTAGTAGAATTCTGCTGGCTACACTGAGATGCTGAAAAAAGTTGTGAAGCCCCCGGTAGACCTTCTCTGGGATGGAAGGACATAGGTGTTTCAGCAGGACTCTGCAACTGCTCACAAAATTGTCATGACCCAAGATAAGATGGTGAGCAATCTGCATAACAACATCACACCAAACATGTGACCCCCTAACACAACAGACCTAAATTAACTTGACTATTACATGTGGAGCATTGTTGAATGGGAGGCTAATCAATATCCCCACAATATAACTGATTCCTGAAAGCCCAGTAATATGCAATATCAATACAGAACATGTGATGCATGTATATCAATGATTCTGGTTCCACATTGAAGCCATCATTGCAGCTGCATAAACTAGTAATCCAATCATAACTGCATCTGTGTAACAAGTGTCGTATAAGTACATCATTACACTAATGAGATAGAATCAAATTCTCTGATGCCTGTGTCAGCATAAAACTAGTTAATTTTTACACCCATTCATGGATAAATTTATATTTACCAATCTCTTTAAAGTTTACATGATCTGGATCTATTGGTGCAATCAGGCAGTTAAATTTGTTGACAATCCATCCAAAGAGTCGACCATAGATTGCTTTAGCCATGGCATCCCTTGCATCTGAAATAAAAATTAATAATGGCTTACAAAATGCATTAAATGTATTGAATTTATTTTTACTGAAAAATCAATATACTGTTATTTACATTCAGATTCACTTTATCAATGCTTTGAGAAGAATTGACTTAACCATGTCAAGGTTAATACTAAAGGTAACAGCTTTTTCTGATACTCCCTGAGTAGGTTAGTTAAATCTTGTACTCTTTTTCTCTATCAACTATCATAGCATATCTGGGCACCTCAGCATGGGTCAATGATCAGTAAATTAGTTTGTTTTACTGGTACTACTTAGTGTGAATTCAATCATCACTAGGTGTTACATACTTGTGACAACTACCATGGCATGCCAGTGACAAGACATTCTATCAATATATCTGGCAGAGGGATAGAGAGAAATGGAGTCAAACCTTTCCAAAATGTATCACTGAGAACTGAACATAGACAGTCTTAACTAAAATTTAAACTCAGTTATTTCATTTTCTTTCTTGGTAACATTCAGTATAGCTTGGGATACATTTGCAGTATATTTTTGTTCATTTCTTTTTTTAAGTAAAATTTTTTTTCCCATCCTAAAGAATTCCCAACTCAGTTTACTGATTCCATTATCTGTGCTGCTAACTAATAAGTTATACCTCCAAGTATTATCTCTCAAATATTTGCAATACATTTCAAATAATATCATACCTCCAATATTATGCCATACCTTTCACCAAATTATGTTATCCTCAAATATTATGCTATGCATTTCAATAAGGATTACGTTATGCTTCAAAGTATTTTGCCATACTTTTAACTAATACTTTTCATTGATAATTATATCATACCTCCAAGTATTATCTCCAAATATTATGCCATACCTTTCACCAATTATTATGTCATATCCCCAAATATTATGCTATGCATTTCAATAAGGATTACGTTATGCTTCAAAGTATTTTGCCATACTTTTAACTAATACTTTTCATTGATAATTATATCATACCTCCAAGTATTATCTCCAAATATTATGCAATACCTTTCACCAATTATTATGTCATATCCAAATATTATGCTATGCATTTCAATAAGGATTACGTTATGCTTCAAAGTATTTTTTGCTTTTACTAATACTTTTCATTGATAATTATATCATACCTCCAAGTATTATCTCCAAATATTATGCAATACATTTCACAAATAATATCATACCTCCAATATTATGCCATACCTTTCACCAATTATTATGTCATATCCTCAAATATTATGCTATGCATTTCAATAAGGATTACGTTATGCTTCAAAGTATTTTGCCATACTTTTAACTAATACTTTTCATTGATAATTATATCATACCTCCAAGTATTACTGCCAAGTATTATGTCATACATTTCAATAATGATTAGATCATACCTCCATGTATTATTTAATAACTTACTCTAATGTTTATACCATACTTAATTCCTGTTCTTTTTGCTTTCTCTCATTAATAATGTTTTCTTTTTCTCCTTATTTTTCCATACTCAGTAACCTGTTGCATCTTAGTAGCTTTATTACTTTTCTTGAGATGAAATGATTAAAAAAAACAATTCCTTTTTACCTTCAGCTTTTTCCATTGTGTAATTCCTTTTTACCATTTCTCCAGCAGCAAATACATTTAAGGATGTTAGTGCATGCATCACTTCTTTATAATTGATGGACAATAAAGTCTGCAAGCAAAAATAAAAAAATATATATATATGAATTTATAAGATTAAATTCATGTGTAAGTGTAAAAATCAGTCAGTTATGTGCCATGCATGATATACACTTAGACAATCATATTTCTTTCGATACATGACTGACGAGACAGATTTTTTCCTGCAGTAGATTGCCATTTCTTTCTGTGATAGACCAGTTGCCATCCAAGGCTATAAAACCCGGTCTGTCCTGCTATTTACCCATAGATGGGGAGAGAAGAAGAGGATTTATAACTTTCCCAAGGATTTTAGCACATAAGTGAATGTAATGGATTCAGCGGGAATTCGAACTCAGCTCTCCAATTCCTCAATCCGAGCCACAATCCATTACTCCACTGTGCCTCCTCTTACTCCACTCTGCCTCCTCAGTGCAAAAAAAATACTATCACTAAATTTGATAAGGCATTTTCATTTGTTATAACAACGTTTGGGCTTATCTATTCTCCAGCCTTCTTTATTTAATTTTCAAAATGCATTATCATTGCAATGACGTCATCACCACCATGACCACCCCTCTCATCATTGCCACTGTGACCACGGTCAAACCAATGTAGCAGCAACCAGATTCCTGACTTCTCCCAACTCTTCGCACACAGAATGTGGCTGACAGGCCAACTGTCATCACCAGACCACTCTTATTGTCATCACTGTAATTTCTAAAATCGAAATGGCTTCACTATTACATGCCAGCTCTCTCTCATCATCACCACCGTGACCATGTTTTCATTTGATCTCCCATTTGACCAGAACCTAACAAAGATATTCTGCTTGATCAAACTTCATTATCCACTCCAGGCCTCTCTCATTGTTAACACTGTGAACTCAGTCAACCAAACTGGCAATGCACCTGACCAGGCCTTACCACAGATCAACCCTACCAACAACATCCCACTCGTACTTCACAAGCCCAGTCCAGGCCTCTCTTGTCATCACCATTGTGACCTCAGCCACCAACCCATTACCCACACCCAACCTTACTAACAAAAATCCCTTCCTTTACCAGCAACAAATGGTGTCAGAAGTGTGCAGCAAGGGAAATGGATATAACATTAGTCTCTCCTCAAGCAAATGAAAGTTTGGTGAACTTACTGTTGCAGCTTCAATAGAATTCTTATTTTGTACCACAGACAGTTCCTCATTGCCATTGTCTACAAAGGTTGTGTTGCCAATATACAGAATAGAAGCCATAGCTTTAAAAACATCAAGTTGTTCCTGCAAGTAAAGAAAATCATTACTTTAAGACATTCAAAACAATTTCAATTGCATTAAGTAAGATTTAAGCCACTAAGAGATATAATATTTTCTCATATACTTTCCACTTCTTTGTTGATTTTAAATATATGAGAAAATGATAAATAAATAAAAGGAAGTTAGCAAAAAAATTCCATCATTTCATCTTTAAATCCAACTTTATAACTGACACTAATATATTTGCAGCAGAATACTTCACTACTTAGGGAAAAGTCTAATTATCATTCATCCACAAAGTTTTCTTTTCTATCTTACTTTTTAAAAATCTGACCAGTCAAATGTTAATATGAAAAAAATAAATGATTTTTTTGACCAATCAATATTTGCTGCACTGAACTCGCTCTGGAATCCAACCACCAATATAAAATCAGGCCCCCTAACTTTAAACAGAAAATAGATTTTAACAGACAACTAACCACAATCCAAGAGAGTTTGAGTTCCTTACATCTGCAGTTACATCTTGTTCACTATCACTTACCCAACATTTACCTAAACCAGACAAAGTAGGATAATTGGTTTGAACAATTATCTATGAACAGTTACATCAGGTTCACCAACTTATATGCAATATATATATCTTGACCTATGTCTGAACTCTTGCATTTTCTTTTAAGGTTCAAGTTTTTCAGTCAATTCTAAAGTTGATTCAACAAAGAGATTGGAGCTCATCTAAGCTTAGAAATAGCAATAGAATAGTTATAGGTTTGGGGTGTAGCTGCAGAGTGGAAAATAAGTCTTCCCTCATAAGACTAAATAAATGATTTTCAAGACTGGAAATTGAGGATGGAGCAGTTCTGGCTCATATATAGTGGCAATACCCCATTTTTTGTCTAATCTGACTTTTGTAAAGATAAAGTATAACAGAAAAACTCAGATACATCCTGGATCAAATTAACCAAAAACTTTTTTGAGCTTCTTTGGCAGTAGATTTTATATCTTTCTTTTTATGTGCCATTTCCTTTCAGAACATAGACGATCATGGCTCTCCACATCCCCCTATCCCTTGTGGCTCTCAATAAGTTTTGGGCTTGTGCCAACTCCTCCAGACCATATTCTGCCATCCACTTGCTTAAGCTCATCAGATATGTCATGCATTGCTTTCCCTTGTCTCTTTTTCCCTCTGTTCGACCCATGAGTATCAGATTCTCCAGGCCCTCCTTTCTCATTATGTCTCAGAAATTTCATTTACCTCTTCCTTATGTTAAGTATAAGCTTCTTCCTTGTTTGCATCCTTTCCAAAACCTCATCATTGCTCACAAACTTGGTCCATTATATCCTTAGCATCCTTCTGTAGAACCACATCTCCACTGCCTCAAGTCTCTTCTTCATCTTTGAGAAGACTGTCCAACATTTGCTGCCATATAGAAGAAGAGATGTCACATAGCAGCTCAATACTATTTTCTTTGTCACCAAAGAAATCCTGCTCTCTCACAGTACTTTGCCCAGTTTTTGGAATGCATCCTTGACAATCCCAATCCATCTTCAGATCTCAGCATCGCACATACCATCCTCTGTCAAAACACTTTCCAGATATTTAAACTTCCGCACATATTTTATTTTAGTGTCACCAATCTGCAAATCGCATTTTGGGCTCATCTTTTTACTGATGACCATATATTCTGTCTTCTTGTTGTTTATGGTTAGTTCTTTCTTCTCACTTTCCCTTGCTACCTTCTGTAGGAGGTTTTGTTGTTTCTTTTCCATGTCTACTATCACTACTGTATTGTCTGCATATCTTATGTTGGTAAGATTGTAACTGCAAATGCTGAATCCTGGCAGGATCTCCAATTCTCTCAGAATTGCCTCGCTGCATAGGTTTAATATATCCAGTGAAAAACACGTCCTTGCGTCACACCCCTTTCTATTTTTGTGAATTCACTGAATTCATTCTCAATGCTTATTGAGATCTGCAGTGAACTTTAAACCTAAAATACCTTCAAAGTAATGAATCTTATTAAGACTGCAGCCATTCAAAATGACAAGAGAAAACTCAGTGTCTGAGTGGTGATGATTAAAATAAGAAAAAACTATAATACAACTGCTCTCTACTTAACTTTCATATTACAAACTTTGTCAGTAAATTCCAATTTTCCATTCAGAAGTTCAATTGCCATACAATAGATGGTATTTTTGTAGCTGCTTGTTATTACCTTGTAAACACAATACAGATGTTGTTTCTCTGATAGTGGTAACACAGCGTTATTTGTAGTTATATGATTTTCATACATGCATAGAAAAAAATTAAAGCCCAGCGTGTATCTCCTTTAAAAAGTTGTTACCATTAATTGCTAAAGAAATTCTTCTTTGCTTCAATGCACATTATACGTTGATGATCTTTTAAATTTTTGAAACTATAATATAGCATATGTAGCTTCTATAATTAAAAAATTGACTTTAGCTTTCTTGGTAAGCAGTAGCAATGTAAATTGTTCAAAGTGAGCAGTAAAATTCAAAAAAAGTAAATGTGTTAGAAATAAAATGAATCAATCAAGTTTTAGTAAACACCAATGAAAATATATACAAATATTATAACAATTAGTTTTAATTTTTCTTAAGCAATAGCAGTACCAGCAAGTAAGGCAGTTTCAGAGATAAGTTCAGTAATATTATAAATAACTTTATCATTATATACTTATATTTGGACTTAAAAACAAACCCCACCAGCCTATTCTGTTCATAAGTGGTAAAACTCCTGTATACTATATATTAAAGGAAATTTTAAGAGATGTACCATTCTTTTCTTACCTGATCAGTGAAGCCAACCCAATCCATAGCATCACAAAGTTTCTGATACCTTTCTTGTAGCACTTCCATGTTATTCTTCACAATCTCATGAGAGTTATGCATATACCTAAAATGACATAAGTAAATATATATATTATAAAATATAAAGAAAATAAATAGAAAAATCAAAAATAGTTTTCACTTGGTCACTAAAGGTCTAACTAATAATGTACTTCAGTAGAAAAAGATTTTATGAATCAATTTTGCTGTTTGCATTCATAACCAATTAAAACTATATTTATCACACTTTAATCCATGAAAACGCAATCAAAACTATATTTACAATTTTAGGCAATTAAAACTACTGTATATACTCATGTATAAGCTGATTTCTTTTATAGTGTGACCACTGAATTTTTAATTAATTTTAACTTCTCCAAAAAATAATCAAATCTGTGCATAGTGCAACTGTTCACTGAAAATGCATGATATTTTAACCTCTTCAAAAAATTACATGCGTATAGTGTGACCCCCCATTTTTTGCATCAAAAACTGATCATAAAATCTTTCATTATACTCAAGCATATACATTATATTCATCACACTTTAATCTATAAAAAGTCATTAAAATTATATTTTTCATTTTAAGCCATTAAAACTATATTATCACACTTTATTTCATAAAGCAATTAAAACTATATGATTTTAAGTAACTAAAATTGTATTTAGTACACTTTATTCCACAAAAAACTTGATAAATTACATATATAATAATTATTTTAATTTTAAAATTCAATGATAAACTGAATATAATTCTGATGGAGTTGTTAAACACTTTTACTTTAAATTCTATTGTTTTCCTAAGGAATTTTCACTTTAATCACATGAAACTATATAAATATAAAAAAATTTTGATTGTACATAAGAAAATGTGGTAATTTTAATTTAATAGTTGTTTATGTCACTAATATTATCATTATATTTATATGGAAATTATAATTTACAAGTAACCTTACCACAAAAATATTACTAAGGATTCTGTATATCTGCTACAAGTGGAAGTTTTTGAAGATGCTGTTTAATCAACTCTACTGATCTTATTTGAATACCTGATAATCGTAATAAAGCATTTAAATGGTGCTCTAGTCACATGCAATATCTTTGTTTATATGTTGTATAAATAGATTCATTGAGAAGTATAGCTGTCCTTCTCATAGACTGGATGCCAACCAAGGCTACAGAGTCTGCTCTATTAATTGATCGATAGCAGATGAGGAAAGGAGAATTGGATTCATACATTTTCCAAGGGTAATTGTGCAAAAGCAAATGCAACAGCCTTGGCTGAAATATTGAATTGCACATCCAATATCATAGTTTACAGTGGCATATGTATATTTTTTCTAAATACGATGTGTGAAAATGTACAAGATTCATAAAAAAATGTATTTAATAAATTGTCGGACTTTGTCCATTTCTTAATGTATGACGTAATTCGTTTACATTTGATACACCATGAGCAGTTATGAATGTACGAGATTCATGGAAGATTGAAGTTTATAAGCAGTAAATTTGACCTTGCCAACCGAATGATCCTTTGTGGCCAAGAGGTTAGGCACGTCAAGCTAAATGACGGTTCCGTATAGGATGCAGGTTCGAATCCTGTCAAAGGACGAATATTTTCTATGAAAATTTCTCAGACATTCAGGCCGGTAAATGTTATTTAATACTGTTTATTATAAACAGAGCATTTACTAAAATACTTGTATCTATAAAAAGAATGTTAAACATAAAAAAAAATGTCTAATACATATATATATATATATATATATAAGCCAGTATCCATTGGTTTGTAATGCACAAAACATGTTCTATGCATTTAGTGTTTTTTAAATATATGTGATGATAGTCGACTTAAATTGATGAATATCTCATGAAACAGCTGAAGTATTAATAGGTAAAATGATAAAAATGATGGAAAAAGTATGTTCCCAACATTAAAACAGTGTGGTTGTCATAAGATTTTAAGTTTAATTTTGGCCAATGTGTGACTTTAAAATTATACTCTGCATAAACTACAGGTTAAAAATCTCTTACCTGAACTCTTTTGTATCTGTTAAGAGCAATGCTTTTTTATTCTCATCTGAAAGTCCAGCTAGCATATAGTAAAATATGTGGAAGTTTTGTTCGTCTGGATTCTGGAAGACAACTCTGGATTTTTCAAGAAGATATTCAGAAATCTTCCCACCTTTAACTGTGAAAAAATAATTATTCTCTTAAAGATCACAATTACACTTCAGGTGTATAAAAACTCATAATTAAATTGAAAGTTTTTATTTGATATGAATAAAATGAATCATATGAAGAATATAAAATGACAAATATGGAACAATCATTGACTGAAAAGAAACTGTAGCAGATATTAAAACTTTTCACTATATATGCATGCACTGCTAACTCTGTCAACAGCAACAACCTCTTTTCAGGTTTTGGGCATATATAAAAAAAACAAAAACTGTTAACATACCTGCTGTGAATCCCAAGAAGTTAGCCCTCTCTCTTTCACATTGGGTGGAGGTTGTGATAGGATGCTAAAATTAGTGCTCTGTGCAATAATCTCACATGGCTTAGATAATACACCACAATCACTCTTTAATTCACCAATAGAGTAAGTTCAATTTTCTCTTCACTCTTTACGGAAATTCTTAAGAACATTTCTTGAATTTGCACTTTCATTCAGGAACTATTCTTGAAATTATTTCCACAAAAAGTTCCCAAGAGAATAAAAATAAAAATTCTCATTTTGTTTCAGTCTCTTGTTTGTCTATTTTATCAACCAATTCAACATTTTTAGTTTCTGTCTATCAATGCATGACACCTTCTTAATTTCAAACAACAAACCATAAGCTATTAAAAAAAATACATGAAGAGGAGTAGCATTATCTTGAAGCTTTTATAACAGAAAACATTATCAACTATTGTTAATTTTTGTCTAGTATTTCTTTCATCTTTGTAGTATTGTGTTGTTCTATGACACACAGTAGTCAACTTCTGCTTGTCTCTTACTTTACTGTACACTTCATATTTCTTGTACTTAGTATATGCAAATAGGTACAATTCTATTTACCAATCCACTACACCTCCCTGAACTGAAGAGGTTTAATGCCTTTCATTGTTCTCAAACTTTTTCTCCAACCTCTTTCTGCCTCTCCCCTATATAACAAATATTTATTTAATAAAAATGCAATATTGGTTTTTGCATATCTTTCTTTAAGTTTTTATATACAAGAATCCATTTCCCAGTTTGCTGTGCATCTGTGAGAACTATAAACAAATCACAAGGCAAAATGCTTAAAAATTTTGAATTTGGCTCCAGAAAGAAATATTTACAGATGACCAGTTGTATGTTGCATCCTCAAGAGTAAGAAATCCTAAGAATTTATTCTTTACTATCAGAAAGGAAAAAAGAAATTTTCTTAAAAAATATTGTTCACCATGAAGTCCTATAAAATTAAATTAAATTTAAGAAATTATTAAACCATGAAGTAGGGTTTTTGTGAAAGAATTTTTCCAAACAAATCAGCTTATTCAAATTTCATTGATTGGTTTGCAAAATTGAACAAAACATAGAGTTTGTAAATCTCAATGTTAGCAATAACTTCAACAATGCTAAATGTGGTGAAAATTTCAACACATTTCAGCATGTTGCAAAAAATTCTAGTCTAAGAAAAATTCAAGATAATATTACTGTTACTAATATTACTAATGTAAATAGCAAATATATCAGTAAAAAATTAGAGAGGGCAAGTTTGTTCTTTTGCCAACCAAAGAGCCCTTAAAGCTCAAAGATTACAGTGGATATGGAAAAATGGGCTTCCCAAGGGAGAAAGGGATGTGAGTTTTCATGCCAATTCCAGATCATAGATCTGTTTTGGAAAGGTTTATATTGAGCCCTAATAAATAATGTGTGACTATTAAAAAAACATAATGTTTTAATAATTTTGTGGCTATATTTTACATAAATATAATTCTATTAAGATGAGCCAAATTAATTAACTGATACCTATGATTTCATCATTTGGTGCTATAAAAATGTTTTTTTTTAAATGAAATGTGTATTGGATAATTTTATTTTCTAAATTTGGATATTTTACTCTTGTTCTCAACATTTCAAATTTTTGGTATATCATAACAATTGCTTTTTCATCCTTTATTTTTCTCATCAGAAACCATTTTGCATATTTATAACTCTGCCATTCATTCACACATTAAATATTCCTGGTGTGGTGCTCCTGCTTTATATCTCAAGATTCTTGACAAAATTCAAAGAAGGGTCTGTAATATCATCGATCTTGATCTGGCATCTCAACTTCACTCACTTTCTCATGTAGCTTCCTTCTGTTTTTCTACAAATATTTTCAACACAGCTGTTCTGATGAGCTTTTTCACTAGTGCCTCAACTATATGATTTTAGACGTGCTACTAAATTGGCAATTAGGTCTCACCATTTTATTGTAGATGCAACTGCTACTTCTAGTCTAATAGTTTCTTTTCTAGCACTTCTCACCTGTGGAACTCCTTTCTGATTTCTTGCTTCCCCACACAAATGTCCATTTCAATTTCATTGAAATTGTGCATATATGTGTGTGTGTGTGTGTGTGTGTGTGTGTGTGTGTGTGTGTGTGTGTGTGTTTTAATTCAATGACAGACATAAAAATATTTTTACAAAATTATAAATAAAGAAATCTAAAAAGAAAATCTGTATTTATTACCAAGTAATTCCTAACTACGTTTTTTTTTGTCTCCAGCTTTATGATTTTATTGTTCAACCCAGGGTAGGTTTGTCCAGACTGAGTAGGAAGGGAATATATTATTCCTATGTTTTATTTCAAACTTAGTCAAATTGTGTGTATATAGGTGTGTGCTTCTGTATCCATTAAATGGCACAAGCACATGTAAGTCACTCATGTGAAACGCAGACATACACATATATAATATATATAATATATAATATATATAAACATTACATAGATGTATGCAAAGTCATATACAGTGTATGATGGACGGAGAATCAGCTGTTTTTTTTGTAATACAGATTATATTACTACACCAGAAATAGTTATTATATCACCAATGTCTCCTGAAAAAAACATGTGTTATTAAAAAAACTTCTCTTTCAAGTAGCTGTTTAAAACTTTAATGAAAGTCTGGTGATCCTGCTGTTCATCTCAAGGTCCTCAACAAAATCCAGAGACGGATATGCAATATGGTTGGTCCTGATCTGTCATCCCATTTGCAGTCGCTATCTGTTATACCGGAACATATCTATTCTATTGTAAATAGACTCTCCCAGATATAATAAGTAGTAGTAGTAGCAGTCGCCAGGGGGCTCAGTGGAGTTGCTGAGTCAGTCGATGTCGGACATTAAAGTATCAACCACCACAATTAGATTGCTGCATCATTAACTATTATTTCAAGTTCCTAACGTTTTGTATGTCGAACCCTTTTAGGACCGACTTAGTGAAATACAAGCCTCCACTGTGAAAACTACTCTACAACACTATCTCACAGACATGCTGTGGCTTCCCTCTGTCTTTTCTACAAGTACTTTCATGGCAGTACTACTCCGACAAGCAAATTTCACTGGTTCCCAAACTGCATGAATTTAAGCATGCTACTAGGTTGGCATCTTGGTCCCACCCTTTCACTGTCAAAATGACCAAATGTAGCCATCTCTTCTACTCCAACAGCTTCTTTTATCTTGCACCTCCCATCAGTGGAACTCCCTTCCTATCACTTGCTTCCCTGATAGCTATAATCTTCAATATATTCAAATGTAAAATCAATCGACATATTCTGATTCCTTGATCTTGATCTCTATCCTTTTCTTTATCCTTTTCCCAAATACTCCTCTTTACTGTCACTCTCTGTAACCCTTTGCATGCTAGTGGCACTTCCGCCTTGCTTGGGGTGATTTGCTTAAAAAAAAAAGTGCTAACAGAGTTTAAAAGAAAATGGCTTGTTTCAGGAGCTTTCAGCAACTGATACGTTATGATAATACTAACCAAAACAATATCCTTCTTACATAAAATAAATTAAATAAAGAGATTTTTTTCTAATATATTTGACTGTGACAGTGACATGGTGATGTTTGGTGATGCCCCGGCCAACTCCTTGATTTTATGCCCCTAAGACTCAAGTAGTGGTGTCTAATACTGAGAAATGTGAGAGAGGAAAATATTTTAAATATGTAAAAAACAGCTGAAACATGAAATAAATACTTTATTTAGATTAAATATAAACTACATTTTTATTTCACTCTTTTTGGTAACAAAGAAAAGAATACTGAACTGTTACATGACATCTGTCCTTTTCTACGGCAGTGAATGTAGAGCGATTTCCTCAAAGATGAAGAAGAAACTTGAGGAGACAGAGATGTGGTTCTACAGAAGGATATCATGGACCAAGCGTGTGTGCAACAATGAGGTCTTAGAGAGGTTGCAAACAAGGAAGAAGCTTATACTTAACATTAGGAAAAGGCAGCTGACGTTTCTGGGACACATAATGAGAAAGGAGGGCCTGGAGAATCAAATACTCACAGGTCAAATAGAGGGAAAGAGAGACAAGGAAAAACAATGCGTGACATACTTAGCAGGCTTAAGCAAGAGGATGACAGGACATGATCTGGGGGAGGAAGCAGAGGGAAGGAATTTGTTGAGAGCTGCAAGGGATAGAGGGAGGTGGTGATCCATAATTGCCTACATCCTGAAAGGACATGGCACATAAAAAGAAAGAAGATTAGATGCTTTCCCTATATGGATACCCAGAGCTGCCATACTGTCTGCCCCCACCTTCTGCATGCTACTGAACTGTGACCTATCGCTCTATCCAGTAACGATGATACAGCAAAATTCTACAATTTTGTCACAAGATTAAAAAAAAGTCTATTTTTAGTTTAATGTTTCTTATCTTTGTGATAGTTTTTCTCACACATTACCTGTTTGTCAGCATTAACATATGCTGCTATAAAATATACACAAGTATCAGCTTCTAAATATAAGATATATTTAAATATAAATATATTATAATAAATATAAATATAATAAATATAGATATAAATAAAAAAGCTTCTAAATAATATACACAAGCAACAAC